CCTGGCGAGGTGTCCACGGGCGAGGTGGGCATGATCAAAGAAGGATCTGTTCACAACTCCAAAAAACGGAAGTCGCCGAGCCCTGGCGCCATCGAAGACCCTGCTGCCGGCAGTGCCCTTGGAAGCGGCTTCGTTAATGTGCGCAAGACGCTCAAAGAATTCCCTCTTTTCTCGACCCTACCCTCCGACATTCTGCACTTTCTCGGACTGAGCGCCCAGCCCAAAACATATTCACCTTTTACCGACATTGTACGTCAGGGCGCCCCCGGCAACGATATATTCTTCATTGTTCGCGGTGAGGCTGAAGTGGTACGTGAGCCTGCCAAATCAGAGGACCCGTTCAGGAAGATGCCCAGAGGATCGTACATTACCCCGCGGTTAAAGGCAGGACAGTACTTTGGAGAGGTAGCCAGTCTGGGTCTCTCCGAGGGTCGAACTGCCTCTGTACGTTCAATCACCACTGTTGAGTGTCTCATGATCGACGGCGATGCTCTGGAAGAGCTCTGGAAGATGTGTCCTCCCGACATCAAGTTGCAGGTGGAGGAGACAGCTCGAAAGCGATACAGGAAGACGGATGAAGATGTGGATATGCATGATGTCAACACGGAACAGCAACGAAGCAAGTCTGATCCTCCGACGCCTACGACTCCGAAAGTCCTTCCTCACGTCACGTTCACCACACCCTCAAAACCTACGTCACCAACAAGGGAAGATGCCGGAGAAGCCATGGAACCCAAAGACCCCGACCCTTATCTGAGTGTCAACATGGAGAATTTACGAAATCGGCGGAGGAATTCCCTCGCGCCACCGACGCCGCAACCCGATGCACCGTCACCTAGCGTATTGAATGGGAGATATCAACCGCTCGACACGACTCCGATCCGATTTGGCGTTCCTCAGTGGCCATCAGATTCTGAAGAAGTGCCGCCGAAACGAGCCAGGATCCTGCCCCACCGGCCACTTTCGATGCAAACACCATCTCTGCCAGACAAGGTTCTGGTCAGTGCTCTGCAGTTGATGAGCGTGGGCGAGCTGGTCCGACTTCGGCTCGTGTCAACGCACTGGCGCAAGGTGATCGAGAAGGACCCCGGAGTGTGCATTAATGCAGATCTCTCCCCATATAACCGGAGGGTGACGGATCATACCATCAGGACCGTCATTGGGCCCTTCTTGGGCAACCGGCCGGAAATGATTGATATCAGCAATTGCTTCCATCTGACCGACGAAGGGTTCAAGTCGCTCTGGGAGCAATGCGGACGCAATGTGAAGCGATGGAGAATGAGATCCGTGTGGGACGTGTCGGCCAATCAGATTCTGGAAATGGCCGAAAACGCCAAAGATCTCGAGGAGGTGGACTGGAGCAACTGCAGGAAAGTTGGTGATAATCTCCTGGCTCGGGTTGTTGGATGGGTGGTGCCAGAACCCCCGCCACCGCCCCCACAGAACAAGCAAGTGGTTATCTCGAGTTCAAACGCCAGAGGTCGGAACCAGAAGCAACAAACCCGTCCTCCTGCCAACATTCCCAAACCCGGTACGGTCATCGGATGCCCCAAGTTGAAGCATCTCAACCTTTCGTACTGCAAGCATATCACCGACCGCTCCATGGCTCATATGGCCGCACACGCTTCTACGCGCCTGAGGTCACTGTCCCTCACACGTTGCACATCCATCACCGATGCTGGATTTCAGTCCTGGGCGCCCTTTCGCTTTCTCGGCCTCAATCGACTGTGCCTCGCCGATTGCACATATCTGTCTGATAACGCAATTGTCGCGCTTGTGGGGGCCGCGAAGAACCTGACCCATCTTGATCTTTCGTTCTGCTGCGCCCTGTCCGACACGTCTACCGAGGTTGTTGCGCTCGGCCTTCCTCTTCTGCAGGAGCTGCGGCTCGCATTCTGTGGCAGTGCCGTTTCGGACGCCAGCTTGCAATCCGTTGCGCTGCACCTCAACGAGTTGCAGGGCATCTCAGTCCGTGGCTGCGTTCGGGTCACCGGCAATGGCGTCGAGAATCTGCTCGACGGCTGTGGACGGCTGACTTGGGTCGACGTCAGCCAGTGCCGCAACCTCGAGGGATGGATCCGTACCGGTGGTGTGGCGCGCTGGGGCTTCGACGAGCGAGGCGGAAATGGCCTGCCGTCGCCCAGTTCCTCTGACGACGGAGACCGGCCAAAGCTCATGGCGAGGGCTATGTCGATGAGCAAAAACTCGATGGGACACAACGTGGGAGTTCCAGGCCGTACGATGAGTTTCCGCAGACGAACGAGGAAGCCGGTTCGATTTATCGTCGAAAAGGGAACCGGAGTATTACGGTGATGGTGACGAGGCATGCATGCGTTCAAGATGCATCAGAGGCCATGTGGGATCAACAGTACTACTTCAAGTCTTGAACAGGACAGTGCAAGTTTCGACATAGTTACGAACATGGGATGGATCTAGCCAGCGGGTGGTGTTTGTGTTTGTGTTAAGGTACGGTGAGAGAAAAGCTTGGGCCACATCGGGTCGTACCTGACCCGTGTACTCTACGTAGTCGTTGGGCACGGTGAATGGTGTTTAGTGAGTGGCCCTGGCAGATAGCAGGCCTCTTGTTTGCGTATCATGACCATAGTAGATATAATACCCTGTTTTTGCCTTGGGAGCTTTATGTACACGCGTGTTCACGCCTCGCTGCCTACCTGTTTGTCCGACCAGACGCGTTCGATTGCGCATCCTGAAGGGGTATCGTGCCGTACACAGGCGCGCCCATCTCATCGGGCCGCCAGACCTTTTGCATTGGAGCTGTAGTTGGCTTTGTGAGAACGGCTGGATAGCGATTTTCTAGCGTCCAAATGAAATTGGCAAACCGATCTCTGAAGGCCTACGTCTCAAGGTGTCATCATCACAGGCCCAAGTTCGTCACACATCATTTGAGCACGGCACGGGTTCAATAAGAGTCAATGGTTTGGCAGTGTTCAATTTCCTAGAATCACGCCAGAGGGGGGTTGGCGTTCTTCAAAAGCATCTCAAAGTACGCCTGGAACCAACCGCCGGCTTCGGGGGCAGGCTGGAAGGCCGAGGGGCTGTGGCAGTTCTCATCAAAGCGAACGGCCGTCTCATCGCTGGTGCCGTCGCTCTCACCGCCGGGCTTGACCCAGACGATGGCGTCGGTGATATCATCGGCAATCTCGGTCGTCGGCCGGGGACCGAAGCCCGTGCCGTTGATGTTGCACCAGTGGGACCAGGCGGAGCGCAAGCCTGGCTGGACCCCGGAGCGCCCCTGGTCGACGATGAAGTGTGCCGGGTAGCCGGCTGTCTCGAGGTGGGGAGCGAGGGCGGCGTGGAACTTGGACTCGTCCCACTGCGCATTCGGCTCCGTGTAGGCGGGGGGCGTCGTGAGGTTGTAGCCGTTGAAGTTGGAGACGTTGGTGACGACGCCACGGACGGCCTTGGGGGAGCCAGCGTTCTTGTAAAGCTCGGCGTAGAGCTCGGCCGTAGGCTGGAGGTTGCCGTCCCAGCCTAGCCAGCCGGCGTGGCCAGCGTCAATGTAGATGGCGACATTGGCGAAGTTGAGTGCGGCGAGGCCGTACTCGGTAGCCTCACGGTACGCGGAAGCGGCATTTGCGCACTTCTCGACAGCCATGTTGGTGACAAGGTTGGCGAGACCATCGGGCTCATAAACGATGACAGTACGGATATCGGAGAACTTCTTAATGAGGGCCGCGATGGGATCAATGTATTCCGTCTTGTAACGGTTGAGACCGTCCTCGGCGAGGATTAGCTCACCGGCCGACGCTTTGGCCGAGCAGTCCCTGTCGGGGAAGTTGTACACAACAATAGTGGCGGCATAGGGAGGGGTTGCGCCAGCGTCGTTGGCCGCGCGAATCTCATGAAGCGTGCTGTTCAGGAGATCGATCTTGGATATTTTGTCACTGGTCCTGTCAGTCTTTTGGCTGCCACAAGCCAACATCCAACAGGCAATTCATCTTACAGCCACTGGAAGGTCGAGATCTTGGTAACCGCCTTGGCGGCTGCCACAAGCTCCTCGTCCTCGATTTGCGGGATGGCGAGAGTCTCAATCTCGTTGACATAGTACGGATCAGGATACAGCTGGACATCGGCAAGCGGGTTGCCTTCGTAGGTGGCGACGTCGCGGCACTTATTCCTGTGGGGAACGGCCAGCGCGACCGTCGTCAAGGCCGCGGCGACTAGGAAGCTCTTCGTAGACATGTCGGCGATGTGTCTGTATCTTTATGCTTCTGAGCAACTGATGACAGCCTCTGACTGACGGAGAGCGAGAGGGGGCCTTGCGCCAGTTCAAAGTTGCCAGAACCAGAGGCATCTTATACTCCTGCCAAGATGGATGGCTGACCGTAAGTGCCGTCGTGACCATTGCAGGCTGAGAGTTGAGGATCTAGTCAAGACGAAAGCCAAGACTTGAATTTCGCAGCAAATAATGATCCAGGGGCGCAGCACGCTTCAGGTTGACACCTGGGTTCAACAGCCCATGCAAGGTGGAGGTTCACTGAAGCCGGAGATGCCGCGAAGTCCCCGAGGCAACATTGAAGGTTTGGACCCCCCTCTCTACCCCAAACGGTAGTGTCGATCGCCATCTTCTCCGTGCCAAGGGACTGGGAGTCGGCAGGGGTTGAAGAAGGATCAGGGAAACGTGGGCGTGGTCGCAGCCCGTTGGTCTCCTGGTGCCTGACGTGACGACAGATGCAAGATCACATATCTGGCGCCGAGCCTCTGGGACCTCGAGCCTTGCCCTTTTGTGTTTTTGAATGCACTTGTGAGTGGCCCATGAACGCCAGAGTCTGGCTCGGCTCTGTGCTGGAGGGCATCTCGCGGGTTACTTGATTGCGCTGAACGGAGAGTGGTCCTCCGGAATGACGGAACGTAGTGGAGCACTGCATTGAGCCGGGACGGATGGGAGGGGGCAGCTAGCCGATTGAGATGTCGTGATGGCAAACTACCTTATTTGGCCCATGACGATGACGGTCATAGCGCACACATGATACTCAATGCACAGCCGAAATGAACCATCTCTGGGGGTCGGCATGTGCCGTAATATGGTGTGGATGCCATGGTCGCGATGGTAAGGAGGTCGGAGAGAGAAGCTCAAAGAGGCCAAGAACCAGCCAGGAACTTTTGGAGCGGCAGGCGCACAGGCCAAACCTTGAAATCCACTGTGTCGTTGGTTCCCCAAGAAAGAACAAGCAAGAGCTATTGTACTACCCCGCACCGAAGCACCCGTTCCTGCACCCACTGGAGCGAGGACCGACACTCCGCCAAACATGCTTGGCATAACCATCATCGGGAACCGTCGAAGCACCGACGAGACTCCATACGCTCATGCCAATCACCTGGTCGAAAATATGAACTAGCCCTCTTATGTCGGGCTCATCTGCTACGCTGGTCGCAATACCAGCTTGGCAAATCCTTCGCAATCGCTCCCATCTTCTCGATTCGCAATTGCTACCCCTTGTCTTTTTTTTTTTTTTTTTTTCTTTTCTCCAAGAACCGAAGTGCCTCGACACGCCTCTGGCCTCGTCACTCGATGGCATCGGGCAATCCCGAACCTTCATGGTGATACATCTTGAACAGCGGCTGCCACACAGTCACGGCTCGCTTCGAAACATGGCCATTGAGCGGCTCCGTCGTCGGTACGAATAGTCTCTTCCCTGCCGAGCACTCGATCGCCTGGCCACTGAGCGTATCGTCCTCGAGAAACATATTGTACGCTGCGACAATACTCGAAAAAGGCGTCATACTGTGCAGAACCATCAGCTCACTGCTTGCCACTTACACTTGAAGCTTTACCATTCAGGGGAAACGGCAGCCACCATCCCCGGTGGGATGATGCTGGTAGCCACGATACCGGGCAACACGACGTTGATTCGGATATTCTCCTTCTGTCGCACCGCATCAGCCTTTGGCAGCCCAAACGTGGAAGCAGCCATTTCTGCAGACGCACAATCTTGAGCACTCGTGATGTTGCTCGAACGAAATTAACGATTGCCGCCTTGGCCCCGTCATACTCTGGATACGTCGCGTGTGGGTATAATGCCGCCACGCTTCCCGTCGCCACGATGATGCTGAGACTTTGTTCTTGCGCATAAAGTGCGTGGCCAGTTGCGTTCCATAGACGACACCCTTCCAATCGATATCAGTCCACAGCAGGCTAGGCTTGGGAGGGATGACATCTGAGTCTCGATGGTCAAAGATGTACAAGGACTCCTTGTCAACGATGCCCGCGTTTGCGAGCAAAGCATCGATGCGACCATGTTCATTCCGGACTTCTTGAAACGTCTTTGCCTGGCTTTCATAGTCGGCTACGTCTGTCTTGTGAAAGCTGGCGTTTCGTCCGAGCTCTAAGGACAGCGTGTCGTTGGTTTTAAGGTCAGCCATGGCGACATGCCAGCCCTTGCTCGCGAGGTCTCGCGAGAGGGCCTCTCCCATGCCGGACTAAATCGTGTCAGCACTTTGTTTTTTGCTGCCAGGTACCGGCTCGTAAAGAAGCATCTGTGATGATGGCCACTCTTTTGTCTGCCATCATGATGCTGATCGATGCAATCCAGGAATATCTGACTCTGAACCTGTTTGCGTTTTCTGACTTCGGAAAGTCGGGGCCCCTACTCGTAAGAGCAGCAACACTCGCTAGAAGACTAAGTCGACAAGATAGCACACGAGCATTGCTCATCGAGGGTGCTGTATCCTTGCCTTGTTGCTACTGAGAGCCAAGCGTCGGCGCGACGGGCCTCCGCATCACCCACTTGCAACGCCTCTCGACATCCAGCATTTCCTTTGCAATAGACCCCGTCCGGCATTTCATGTGGCGATCACAATACCAACAGCCAACGTTTTGAGCTGAATACTTGGTCACAAGCCACCAGTGCCCCCTCATGTTAGGCTTAGAGCACCAGATCAGATCTTGTCACTCCGCCAGATCTAGCCCTATCGGGCACGGGAAAGCCTGAAGATGCAGCCCTACCGCCCACGTCGAATGGTGTAGGCTCCGGGTGCCCTTATCCGGCTGGTTGTCGCTCGTCTGCCATGCACAGCAATCCAGCATTGGCGCCAATACTTCTCGTATCAAGTCGGGTCGCACCTCCAGTCTTCGCCCATCTGTTGAAGCTTGGTCAGTCAACGTTGAACGAGATGCTACTCGCCTCTCACGCCTTGGTCGCAGTGGGTGTTCAGCCATTCCGATTACCTGGTAGGTGCGGCGACAAGTGACATTCTCTTTCATTGAATCATTCTTCTACCGCCCTTGACAATGAGACTGTGTCCTCGTCATCACGAGGAATCTTACCAGGAAGCTCATAACGTATCCGCAGCGCTGTAGGGCTGTTCGGAGTGGGGTCTGGAGATGCTTTTCCGCAATGCGGGTTACGGGAGAGCAGGCGATATTCAAGTGATCGGACCAACTCCTGGCGCTAACACAACCAGACCCGACTATAGCACTCGGACACCGCTGAACAGACTCCCAGATTGATCGTGCGCGAGTCGAGTCGCTGCTTCATGAGACATTGACGTGCCAGGTGGCGCAGAAGCTGCGGACGTGACAAGCTATTGAGTTGTCAAGACAGTAGTCAAGACTGGCGGAGGGGAAGTTGTCACGCCGATGAGGGCCACGCATATAGTCTGTCGCGCCCGATTTCACTTGCCTTCCCTGGAGCGACGATGTATGTCCAAGACCTGCAAGCATCTTCACTTTCAAACTAAACGAAGTACCGCAACACGAAGTCTTGCTTCGTCATGACCACCTCCGAGCCTGCGCACGCAACAGCTGCGACCGAGGACGGCTCATCCATGCGACAACAATCACAGGTTGATGTGGAGAAGACGAGAGATGCTCTGCACGCAGAGAACCAGGACATGGCATTTGTTCCGAATGATGATACAGGATACAATGTCACCTTCAAGACTTGGATAGTTGTTTGGGCACGTCTCTCAACCTCGAATGCACGTTTCGAACCCGATTGCTGACATTTCTGACCAGATCCTCGCGCTCTCCTATGGTATATCATTCTGGATTGTCCCCGCTCTTAGTGCTGCTCAAGCCGTTGTGTCGGCTCAGCTTGGCGATCCCACTGCATCCGCATGGTATATCCCAATCTACACTATGACAGTGACGATTGCCTTTATGATTTGCGGTGCCAACTCAGACCTCTTCGGCGTCGTTGGTTCATCGTGGGCGGCAACGTACTGCTCTTCATAGGTTTTATTGTTGGAGGTACCGCAAAAAACACGACGTCTCTCATCGTATCATGTGCTCTGATCGGGTTCGGTGCAGGCAATGCTCAGCTTGCCGCTTTTGCGCTGCCAGAGCTGTTGCCGAACAAATGGCGTCACTCCGCCATTGTTTTGGCCGATATTGGTGTCTACTTCGCAGTTGTTGTCGGTCCCGTCGCTGGACGCTTCGCCATCGAGGAGGACGAGGCTTGGAGATGGCTATTCTATGCACCCGCCATCGCGGTCATCTTCTCCTTCGCTGGACTCTACTTCTACTACTTCCCGCCACGACACCCACGCGGCCTGCCCTTCTCTCAGGCCCTTCGCGAGCTTGACTACGTCGGTGCTTTCCTCTTCATCGTTGCAACCACGCTCATCTTGACGGGCATTGTTTACACAACAACGCTGCCCTCAAATAATCCCCGTGTCATTGGTACTCTCGTCTCTGGATTTGTTCTGATGACATTATTTGGGCTTTGGGAAACCTTTGCACCCCTGAAGCAGCCCCTGACACCAACCCGAATCTTTACCCGCGACAAGGGCCGCCGACTAACTGCCCCTTTTGTCGCTGGCTTTGTCGTCACCATGTTCTACTACGCCCTCAACGTCATCTGGCCGACCATGATCGCCGTATTCTTCACAAACGAGACGACCGATTTCTGCTACGCCATCGTTCTCACCCTGCCCCAGAATCTCGGTCTCACTTTTGACGCCGTACTTTTAACCCTCCTTGGTTCCAAGATAGGCCACTGGCGCTGGACTTTGACTGGCAGCGTGACTGTCATGGTCGTCTTCGGCGCCCTTCTCGCTCTCGGCACCCCGGACCGGAAAGGCCTCATGATCGCCATGATCTTCCTCTCCGAGGTCGGCTTTTGCTGGGCTCAGTATCTCAGCATTGCCTTCATCCAGTTCGGCACAGACCAAGTAGAGCTCGGTATATCAGGCGGCCTCGCCGGCGTGGCCCGTTTCGCGGGCGGCTCCGTTGCCATTTCGGTGTACACGACCATATTGACCAACGTCCAGAGCACAGAGGCTGCTCGCATTGTGCCTGCAGCCGCTACAGCGGCGAGCCTGCCAGAGTCATCAGTCGCTGCTCTCATGGCGGCTTTGCCGCTCGGGTCTGCAGCTCTGGCGCAGGTGCCAGGTATCTCGCCTGATATCATGACAGCGGCAGGTGCGGCGTTTCAGCAAAGCTATGTTGTTGGTCTGCGGACCACAGCTTTATCTTCTCTTTCTTTCGGCGTTATCGGAATCATCGGTAAGTTCAGTCTTATTTTCTGGTTGCGAGAGGTAGCATGCTGATACCAGGGCGTAGCTTGTATCTGCTGCCAGGACATCGGCCCAAGGATGAACGATAAGATCGAGATTTTCCTTGAGAATGACGGAAACGCCGACAAAAATAAGTATCACTAGTTGTGTCTGGATGTTTGGTCGCCGATGTACAGTCTCAAATACCATTGATCGGACGTTGTCTGTGTGTTGCACTGTGATGCCCTAGAATTTCTTGTGAGAGAGACTCGACGATGTTTCTAGCGCGTACCATGGTTGCTTCTATAAATTGATTACGATTTCCAAGTAAGCCTTGTTATGGTTTGCAAATCAATGCTATGTATTACACTCCTGAAGCAGCAAAACAGCTGGCGGCCGTCATTCGGATTGGAGAAGCGTCTCTACGCCGAGCCAGACAGTGTACTGGGTGTCCTGGCGGACGCATCAAGTCCGAGGTTAAACCTCGAATACAGCGAGAAAAGAAACGCCATGGAATGTTTGATGGCTTCTCGGCCCCGAATTTACGATGTCACTCACTTGGTAGTGTGAGTTGGTTGGAGAAAAAACTTGGGAGGACGTTTTCCGACCATGTACCATGCGAGAACAGTACATTTCTAAAGGCCGCAAAAGGCGAGATCTGCAGTGTCACGACACCCTTCACAGCATGTACCCCGCCGGCTCGCCACGTAACATCTCCCAAATCCGATCGGATCTGGCATTCGATAGGGTTTTACTTGGCCCAGAGTGCCGGGTAGCACCTCCCGAGCGACTTATTAGGTTATCTTGGCACCTGTGAGAACCGGGGTTGCGATCGAATCTGGAGATATGCGGCTCACGACAGCCATTGAGGGCTTGACAATGGCTTTGGACACCGCGGGAAAGGAAGTGCCCAAGAGACGGGAGACGAGAGGTATCTAGCGCCGGCATCAGGCCACTCGGTGACCGAACAGTCAGGCCGTGCTGCTCTGAGTACCTATGATATAAGCCGACATGCTGCTATTGAGATGATCGAGAATCGCCAATGTGTCGATGTCTCGCCAACATCATTATTCGTGTCAACCTGGTGTATTTCTAAAGAGCCCATCAGCATGCCCAATGTGCCACCAATTCATGGCAAGTTGATCCTGTTCGGCAACGTCAATATCATCCCCGATCACTACAATGATGTAATGGCCGGCCTGGCATGAACACTCCATCTTTTTCTAACATTTCTCAGTGGCAAACAGCGTATGACAAGCTGGCGACTTACGTTTTCCAAAATGAGCCCAACACCTACTCGTACTACTTCGGGATTCCACTCGAGTACGCTGCCGAGCCCTCTCGTACGGACTACATGTTCGCTTTCGAGATGTATGGCACGCGCGACGATCTCTACGAGACGCACCTGAAGTCAGAACCCATGACGCAAGCCTTCCTACCATCAGCCCTTCCGCTCATGACGACCGGACTGGACCTCGTCCATTACGGCGTCGTGGGTGGGTTCCTGGACATTTTCGGTGACAAGGCAGAATGCGGCATCATGCAGGACATTCAGATTCGATGCATAGACGAGGCCGCGCGGCAGAAGCTACTGGATGCGTTGAAAATGGTCTGCCGAAGCGTTGAGGTGGCGCAACGGCAGGAGGGGATGGGCGAAATCCTGACCTTCTTGGGCCTCAAGAGCCTAGACAATGATGTCGGCGCCCGCATCTACGCACGCTACAAAGGCCGATCGGCCATGGAGGCGTGGCAGAGAAGCGATATCGTTCAAGGGTTCTGGAGGGTGATCAAAGGAAACGTAGCCGACATGACATCTCGTGCGTACGTGCCAAATGGCAAGGGATGGCTGTGGAAGTGAGAGGCCAGCGCCAACGCCTCTGAGGCACAGTTGCAGGCGGTACTCGGCCACCTAGGTTGTTCAGACAAACAATGAAGTCCAGTTCGATGGAGATCCGTAGGTGAGCAAGGATGTGGTGGGCACCTTGGGGATGGTAGCGCAGCCAAAAGTGCCCGCCCAACTACATATAACAAGCGAAAGGAGGCTGGCCAGATTCGCTAGCGTGACTCCATGACTCGACGCTACCTTAGCCGGTTTAGGGCAGTCTGGACATCACATGGTGTCACCAGCTTCAGCTCAACCAACAAGTCGAACATGTTGCGCTGCACTGCAACGGCGCAGCTGCTGGGCTGCACGCCGCTCGGCCATCAGTACCTAGCGAGCCATTAACAGCGGTTGCAGGCACTGCCCCATGCCGTCTGGACCCCATTCGCTCTCGATAACGTGCCTCTCAAGACAAGGCCTGATAAGGAAAGGCTTGACTTTGTGACATACCACACCATGGCCTTTGGCCTCAAGACCTTCTCGAATGACCTTCTCCCCTCCCCTCTGCCTGCATGAAGACCCTAGATCCCGGAGAAGGGGCCGAACGGGACAAGCCCTTGGCTTCTTTACCAGAACAAATCACGTTGTCTGTCCTCGGAGGTGATTGCCACGCGGCCTCGACACCATCTACAAGGCCAAGTACGTGTCCTGACTACGCGTTCTTGGCAGCACAGGGCCTCATTATCAACACAGCCGTCAGCCATCCCATTCAGCCTTGGAAGGCTTATTCTATCGCGATCTTTTTTGGCACTTGATCCTTGTTAGCGCTCCCCAGATCGTTCCTAAATACCCCAAACGAACCCCTCGGTGCTACTGCTCGCATGCGCCGCAATACCCATTAACCTTTCTCACGCATCTCTCATACTCTTCACCACAATATCAAAGTTACTTTTTTATCGTGACTCGACTTGGAAACTTGTCTGGGCGCTAATTCATCATGCCATCCTTCTTCAAGCGCTTTAAGGATAAGGAGAAGGAAGCCCAGGCGGAGAAGGCCGCCGTCGAACGACCTGCGACGCCACCACCAGCCTATGGCGATGCCAGCCAAGATCTGTCTCCGGTCCCTGACCTCGACGACACACCGCCGCCGTTCAGCGTCAGCGGGACAAGAGATATCACGGCTGCATTTGCTTCCCTCAAGCTATCGACCCAGAACAACCCTGACGTCGACTCGTGCCTGGCCCATCTGAAGCTGCTACACGCAATCCAGACCCTCAAGGAGGAAATTGGCTACACAGATGGCCTGTGGGACATATGGGATCACCGTGCGGGACCCAAACTGGACGACGCTGCTGGGTCGAGTGCTGTATCAGATCAGCTACACATTCTGTCCATCATCCGCGAGAAGCGATGGGCATTGTACCTTGCGCGGGCTGTGGACCGTTACGAGGCTTGGTGGACCTCACTCCCAAACGATTCCCTGACCGAACTGGATATGGAAACCAAGGGCAGCCCCAAATATGAGAAGTTTCCAGAGGGGTCAGTTGACTTTCCGTGGACGCAAGATAATCTTCCCCCGATTGGTATGTACCGTCCAACTTCCGTCTTTTGACCGGGTGTCCATTGACATTTCGCAGACGTTCTCATGATCTGGCACACCCACATGCTCAATCCAAGAGTCTTCCTTGAGGATGCCATGAGACGTGGACTCAAGGCATTCTGGACAACAGGCATGCCATGGGCCCAGGTCAACATCGCCATCGACAACAGTTTCAACTACACTGCCACGGATGAATGCAAGGCCAAGTGGGAGCGTACAACGGGGAGGGCATGGCTTAACCAAGACGATCCCAAATTCAAGTCCCTGGAGTGCCCGGCTTGCCACAGCATCATTGAGCTGCCGTGGACGACATGCGGCCTTCCAGAGCTGTACAAGGGAGTGGCGTGAGTCAAGAAGGCGCCGTGATTCATATGAGGAAATCATGGACTGACATTCGATACAGACGACCTGGCCTCCACGGCAACGGTTTTGGAGACGGCGAGTTCTCGCAGTTTTGCACGGAGGAATGTGGTGTGCCCATTGACAAGCAGATTTTGCCGGTGGCCAGATTCATTCGCGACGCCAAACTCAGCGTCGAAGACTCAATACCCATGCCTGGATCTGTTCTTGACCCGAAGTATGGAACGCCCAATTGTACCCAGGCCCCCGAAGGGGCCTACCCGTTGGCGGAGCTCAGCTTCCCCAATCGTCTTGCTAAGGCTATTTATCCTCAACTCCGAGAATTGATCAAGCCAGGGATGACCAAGTCACAATTGCCAACCATGAAAGATGTGGCCAACATTGTGGGAAGCACCATCAAGGATGAAGAGAAGTTGAAGAGTTTTCAAAACCCAAATAACGTCAAGATCGAGGCCAGGCCAGGCAAGATGATTCCACGCGAAGCTATACAGGATACGGAGCGGTACCAGTGCCGCAAGATGATGGGCCAGTACTGGCAGAACCCTTCCATGTTTGGTCTTGACCTTGCCGCTGGCGCTATTCGTCAGGGAGTGTTCATCGACAAGATGTACAAGGTCCGCAGGCGTTCCTGTACTCCTCCGCTCGGCGTGAGCTGACAGTGACCAGATCGATTGGCTCCATAGCCCCTCCGCGCGATCGACAATGACGCGACTCCTACAAAAGTACGACCGCTTTTTCATGATCATGCTCACCACGCCTGGCCACATGATAGTGCCGACTCTCGATGTCGACCTTGCGTGGCACACGCATCAGCTAGCCCCACGGGCCTACTACAAATACTCGACGTCACGTACAGCGGCATCGCAAACGCAGCAGGCGAAGTTCATCGACCATAATGACAAGGTGGAAGAGGGCGTGCTCGGCGATGCGTTCGTGTTTACCTGCAGGAAGTACATGAACCTGTTCAATGAGGTTTACTCGGAATGTACCTGTTGGTTCTGCGAAGGTATGCGACGTCTGCCAAGCCATGCATTTATGCTTGAACTTTCTGACAATGAGCTAGCGGTTCGCGATTTGCATTCGTCTGCTGGCTTCGCGAAGAGGTCCAAGGCCCAGAAAGGTGAGGACCCGCTAATCGAGGCCCTTCGCTATGTTCTCGTCCTGACAGAACCTTCAGCCATCGATGAGCTGCACAGAGTTACGCCTCCTCTGACGGATAAGTCTACCATGCCGCACATGTCCACCCATAACGCGGTCTCGGCAGTTGAACAGGAAGCAGTGCACTGGCGCAACAGGTCTGTCAGGCAACATTCTCGGCACGTATGGAACTTCCGCCTCAATGAAGCCTACACCAGGGCTGCCGCGCGTGCGAAGCGCCGAGGCATCACACTGCCGCCCAAGGAGGTCTATTACAACCACTGGGGCAAGGACTACTACATGCTCGGCCCTCACGTGGCCCCGTCATACCTCAAGTCAGGAATTTACTACGCTGATAACCCAGGGAGGATGCCCATGGGTAAGGAAGCGTGGGCTCAGTGTGCGGAGGGGTCGTGCGGAAACAACGACATAGCGGCTGGAGGCTGCGGTGGACCTGGAGGCTGCACACAAGCACCGGTATGTTGCGCATTCTCATGTGACACCGATGGTGGCAAATGACTAACAAGAGCTCTTCGTCTAGGGATACGTGGATGGTAACCTAGGTAAGCAAACGCACCGATCTTGTTCAGCAATTTGGTGCCAGTCAACTAACACGTTAACGCAGCTGCTAAAGCCGGCAACGACAAGTGGTTGGGCGGTCATGCCATGACTGGTGCAGGAGGAGGTTGTGGTGGCGGTGGAGGATGTGGAGGAGGATCTTGATGCGACACGGCAGTGAGGCCCTTTGGAAGGTGTTATGATGTACCTGATTATCTGTAGAAAGTAGAGTTTGTAGAAAGATATGCATCTTCGAAAAGAAAGGACTCATTTGTGCCGTTTGTCGTCGACACGCCTGCCAACTCACAATGACTGTGGCTGACATGGTACCCCGGCCATCTTCAAGAAGCCAACCAAGTCATCCATACCCTGTGGCTCATTGAACCAATGGCCACCATCACCATATTCATGCCACTCTACATCTAGATACTTTCGGGCTCGAAGTGCATCCCGAAGCATAACGCCATTGCGTAACGGAACGACACCGTCATCAGCGTTGTGGGCCAGGAACACGGGCGTTTTCCGTGTGCTCCGTATACCAGTCTCGACTTCGGAGCCTTCCACCTCGGGTTCAGAAGGAAACAATACCGGTATCCGCTCGGGAGCGAAAGTGATGGCGACAGATTCGATTTCCGGCATCCAGCTGCTCATCCCAACCAGACCGGCCAGCCCTTCACCGCCAATGAAGAATGCAGCTACAGCTGTCGCGAAGCCCTGACTGATGCCACCAAGAAACACATTTTCACGTCCCACAATACCCTCCTCTTCAGAAATAACGTGCATGATTATCTCGGTGCTCATCCGAAGCCCGGGCTGCTGGAGTTCGTGCTGGTCACCGAGCTCCTGAACAGACCAGATATCGAACCACTGCGAGATCGGGACGCCGAAACGTGCCGAGGGAAGCACGGGCGCAAAGGGAAACACCCAGCGGACCGTGGGAAGGAGATCGATGAGCGTGCGAGGGCGGCCAGCCGGAACCGAGGCTTCACTTTCGAAGAGCTCTGTGGCAAACTCATCCGCGACACTGTCTCGACCGTGGAGAAGAATGATCGTATGCGTGTGCTGATGATGGGGCGCGGGGCCGACCAAGTAAGGTCGCGAGGCCATGATTTGACTGAGGTCGTAGGGCTAGGAAGGCGATTCAGTTCGGTAAACATGGGCGAAAGCTTTTGTGTCTTGTTCCTGTTTGGTGCCTAATCTGTTGCCTGGTCAGGGTTAGGTCATGTAATTGGTTCGCTGAGCGTGTTTGATCGTGGTCACAACGACTGATGCTGGGCATTTTACTACTTGTCAATATTGGCGGGAGCGGCGCGAATCGAACAAGATTCTATTTTTTTTTCATTAAGAAATGTCAGACCCGTATCTGTACCATGACGCATACCTGAAGCGTGACGGCTTTTTCTAGGTCTCGGGTTTTATCTGCGGCATGGAGGCTATCGGGGTAGCCCCAGACTTCGCAACCACGGGATGGTACGAGAAGCATTTGCTAGCCGGTAGGGAGATTCGAGCAAAATGAGAAGCGTCACAGTGGGCGAGCATTGGCGAAGTTGGCGAATGATTTTAGGGACAATGTGTATTCGTGGAATCATGCGTGATGCCTTTCTCTCAAACGAGAGCCGGACGCCTGGAAGTGGCGGTGCGCAATGCCACCGTTCCTAAATCCATCATGTTGACCGATCGACCGATCGACCGATCAACCCAAAACCGAACGTAACCACCGCTGCCCCTGCCCCTGCCTCGAGTGTCAGCTTGGCCATGTCTCTTCCTTTTGTTTCCCAAGAAAATGCCGTGATCGTACCATCATCGCTTCTTCGTCGGTCAACATTTATCGCTGGCCGCTCCAGACGCTCTTGAGAAGACCGTCACGCTGAGCGAGGCGGTTCATAGCGTCGTCGCTCTCGCCCATGGCGCGGACGAAGCCGGAGAGGGCGTAGACGTGGTTCTCGCCCTGGACGGCACGGCCGTTCTCGTCAACCTTGGCGATGGAGATCTGAACAGAGGCGTGGTCCTTGGCCTTGATGATGCGGTTGGTCGCCGAGCACTTCCTCGGGACGTAGCTATGTTTCGACACATGTTAGCACACCAATGTTTTTTGCGTTGTACGTTTCTGAACTCGCGCTGCGCGAAATGGCTGTCGTCGCAAGTTCGAGAGGGGGTGTTGCATACAGGTCGACAATTTCTCCGCGGTCGTTCTCCATGGCTGCGATTTGGATGGATTGAGGGGGTTGACGGAAGTGTTGGGTGGTTTGTCTTCGCAGATGTTCGGTCGCAAGAGGCTGTTCGGGAGGGGGGGTTGGAATTTCTTCTCAATTTTGGTGGTAGGCCCGAATTTCGAGCGTCAGTGTGGGGTACGTACTGCTGCCGAGTGCCAGAGCGGGCAATGTCAGGTGACCTACGCGGGTCCGTAAGATGGCCAAAGCATCTTATCTAATCAGCATGTGACTTCGCGGTGGTCTCGCGAATGCTGGCGCCCTTCGCCCCTCAGCGCCTCGATGTATTGCATTGCTGACACCCGTTGCATCATGACCCATCGCCACCGCGTCGCCATTCGAACCGTTGACGCCAACTCTTTGTAGGAACGAGCGAGCGGCTTCGATTTGCCGTACATTTCTTAGCCAGGGCTAGGTCCCACATCTTGCTCATCCTGCTTCGTCTTGCATCGGGAAGATGCCCTCCGTGTATCCGACGACGGTTGTTCAGTTCTGCAGTTCCCATGGCCAGCTCGACTAGGTCGCGGGGTCACGTCGCTTCGTCGTCTCCTCTGCCCTCTGTCGATGAAATATTTTCCAGGATCATAAAGCCGCCAACGCAGAATGATCACGTCTTCAAGTCAACAACCGAATTTCTAGAACGCCAATCCGTCGGCGCCGCGAGCTTTATCCGACCCGAACGCGTTTCAGTTGACTTGCTTACCCCCCGCAAGCCAAGTCCAGAGGCTATTGAACCCGACTCGGACGACTCGGTCTGCGTAATAAAGATTCCCGTTCCAGGCACAAGGAAAGCTAGACGCAAGAAGGGCTCGGGCAAACTTCGCGAGCTGAAGCCGAAATCGAAGAAGCCAACGACAGAGGAGAGGTCACAGGAGAAAAAGCCATGGATGAAGTATAGGGCCAGTGAATCGCCGAATGGCAAATCGAAGAGCAATGCCACCAAAGAGTCTGGCAAGAGTGCCGAGAGAGTGCGAAGTCACCACTTCCCGACACCAGTCCAAACGAAGCAGACTGACGATGACGCTGAACCACGCCTCCTTCCCCAAAAAGAATCTCCACCGGACGAGCCTTTGGACCTGGCACTTGCGTCGAGAAGGAGGGCCAATTGGACGCCGCCGCCGGCGCAACAACTCGGCCCAGAAGGTTCGCGGTCTTCTGATATTGAGGAGCTTTTGTCCTCCGCTGCTAGAAACTGCAATGCCGCCGCTGCACGGGTCTCTTTTGAGAGTCTTCTAGAAAACTACGTCCGCAAGGAAAACGCAAGCGATGGCAAGCGCTCTGAAACGCCAGAGGGAATACCCGATGCTTTAAAGAAACGAAAACTCGCACAACCCGTACCGAACAGTGACTCTGCGACAGTCTCTCGGGACACTTCACCCGCCAAAAAGGCGCCCAAACGAAAGAAGCCACGGACTATCACCGAGCTTGCTACGGCAGCATATGCTGCACCGGAAAAACCAGAAGCTGCGCCTGCAGCATCGCTTCTCGCTTACGTAGAACAACAAACTAGCGGAGTCACTGCTGCCGCAAAGGGCAAGCCCAGAAAGAAGACTACTAAGAGCAAGCGGCTTCAAAAGGCACCAGAACCAGCTTCGATTCTTTTATCTCCAGGGACAGCTATCAAGAAGGTCGCCAACCAAGACTTTGTATTTGGAACGTCCAGCCAACTTGCCAGAGAGCACTCGCCGACCTTCCTTCGAGATATCCAGGCTGCTGTGCGTGCTTCCAATTCGATCTTAGATGAGCCGGATCCCTTCACAACCCCCTTGAACAGCGACTCTATCGAGCCACCACCTCGCAAGAAGCTATGGGAAGTTGGCGCTCGCGACGATGACGGCAGGCTTGTTGATCTCGAAATCATTGATTTAGTAGGCACCCCAGCGGCCAGTGTTCCCGAACACGGGGATTCTTTTGGATATTTGCATGAAAAAAATGCAATCCAGACTAGCATGGCCGAAGTCGACGAAGAAGTAGTGCTTCCCAAGCTGAGCCCGGCTTCTGCGGTCTCGGCAAACATGGACTCGGCAGACGCCTTGAGAGAAATTGTACCCTGCATGATCTCGAGCGACACTGGCGACTTGGGCACGGCGAAGATCTCCGATGTTCAGCAACAGATTTGCACGCCGCCTAATTCTATGCATCCAAGCAAAGCCCTAGAGCTGCTCGATGTTCCCGCGCCCGAGCCAGTCTGTGCACCGGTTGCTATGGGCGTCGAACCTGCTCTCGCTGGCCCGGCGAGACCCAGATATGAACTCTATACTGATGTACAGCTTACCAAGGAAGTTAAAAAATTTGGTTTCAAGCCGATCAAGCCGCGGACGGCCATGATTGCTTTGCTCGGCCAATGCTGGGAGAGCCAAAACCTGCCCAGAGTGGCTTTGAGCCCGCTACCCTCCAACCAGCCATTATCTACGATGTCCGGACTGACGTCTAGCGCTGTGGTATCGAGGGCTACAGCTCCTGAAACCTTGAAGAGACCACGTGGACGACCAAGGAAAGATAGTACCCCCGAGGTCATACCTAATGAACCACCGCCGTCTGCTCAGCCTCCCGCCCCATCACCAAAACGGCCCCGTGGTCGACCCCGCAAAGATGCCGGTAGTCCAGCTGCCGCTTCCACAACCAAGTCCAAGCCCAAGGTGAAGCCCAAGGCCAGCGGTCAAGGGACCAAGAAGGCCGCAAAGGCAGAGGATGCATTGGCGGCAGCGACACCGACAAGCCGACCGAAGGTGCCACGACCACGAGCTGTGGCAGCTGAGGTTATCGAGATACCCGATTCCGCCTCGGATGGGTCGCTGCTTGCTTCCTCGCCCGAGATGCGATCCTCGTCGCCACCAGCTGTGGACGTCTGTCTGTCGCTGGACGAAGATGCCGAGATGTCACTTGCGCCGTCTGTCACGAGTACACAGTCAAACCTCATGGACCACATTACCAAGGCAGTGAAGGCGGCACCGCCAACGCAAGACCCCAATGAGCCATCATGGCACGAAAAGATGTTGATGTACGACCCAGTCATACTAGAAGACCTTGCTGCATGGTTGAACTCGGGACAATTGTCGGAAGCGGGGTATGACGGGGAGGTGTCGGCGTTCGAAGTCAAACAATGGTGCGAGTCAAAGAGTGTTTGTTGCCTCTGGCGGGTGAATCTGTCAGGCAAGGAGAGGAAGCGATACTGATGAAGGCGGCATCAGGATACAGATACCCATGGTCATTTTGGGCTTACAAGTTGGCGCATAAGAGCGAGCGAATGAATACGGCTACGCGCGGCGATAAGTTTACAATGGACGATTACATGACTTACTACAGGCCTCAATTTTTGGATGTACTGCTTGGCAATCAGTGACGTTTGGGGCTAGTGGTCTACAAATGAATGGGGAAGGTCATTCCTCATGGCAATCAAGGCTTGCAATGTTGTGAAGGGCGCGCGCTTGGGCGTATACCTCGGCACGGCGCCACCTGGAGCTTCCCCCGCCATGATCCCCGTTCAATCCGTCTTGTCACAGACATCAATTCCCAACGCCAAACGACAGGTCCCCTCCACCGAGGCGCACTTGATGTCTCCATCATCTCCCTGTTCCCGCGTGCTGGACCTTGCGGCATCTCGAATTACGACTTTCCTCCATCAGCTTGCCATAAGCTATCAGACAACAGCACACCACTCATCTTGCACATTCCAGCGACGCTACTTGATACAGCAGACTGTACCTATTTCCAAAATCATGTCACAAACCCGTGCATCGTCGTCGAGCTCGAAGGAGAAGAAACCAGTCGTTGCTCCTCGTCCCAGTTCTAGGTAGGTAGGGCCAGATGGCTGTCCAGTCGAGAGAGCCTTTCTGTCTTCTTCATGGCTGAGACATTCACAGCATTCTGCTCTTGTCGCCAACCAACCAGGTTCTTCTCCTGCATCGCGTCAAGATGTCAAGCTCCTTCGCGTCCGCACATGTGTTCCCTGGCGGCAACCTAGATTCATTTCATGACGGCGACATCCCTGCTGAATATGCGAAGGAGAGGCATGTTGATGGACCAGCGTACCGCATTGGTGCAATCCGCGAGTGTTTCGAGGAGACAGGCATCTTGCTCGCACGACGCTCCGGGGCAAAAGGTGACGCTGCACTCGTGAGCCTGCCGAATCGCGACAGGGAGGCCGCGCGGAAGCAGATCCACGGGAACCATGTCCGGTTCAGCGATTGGGCAGAGAGTGTCGGCGGGACACCCGACGTCGAGGGACTGATCCCCTTCACGCGATGGGTGACACCCACTAACGTTCTCAAACGCTTCACAACCCAGATGTACCTCTATCTTCTCCCCGACACGGCTGCATTTGACCGGGTCGAGGCGGCACAGCAACAAGACATCATCGTTCCCACGCCCGACGGCGGCGTCGAGCACACAGCCGCCCGATTCGACGACGCCGCTACATGGCTGGCCAAGGCCGACGCTGGCGAGATTATCTTGTTCCCGCCGCAATACTATCTTCTTCATCATGTGGCTCGGTTCTGTACTCAGCAGGGTTCGGGGACATCGTTTTCGGTTTTCGAATCGCAACGGCAGAAGCTCCTGCAATTTCTGCGGAAAACGCCGACGGCCAGTTCGAAGAAGGGGATCGCGCACCCCACGTCGTCGATCCCATGGTCTGAGAAGGTCATGAGCCCTCAGAATCTGCTTGTTCGGTCTTCGGATAAACGTATAGTGCTCGGACTTGACAAGCCTGGACTGGAACTAAAGGATTCTGGTCGAGGCGGCGACTGGGAGAGGGTCGTACTCGTGAAATTCTCGAAGGAAGGGCCCCGAAAGGTCGAAATAAGGGACCGGGAGGAGATTTTGGCGGAGGAAAGAGAAGAGAAGTCGGAAGAAGGCTCTGGGGCTCGTCACAAGTTATAAACAGCACGCTCCCTGCGGCAATCGAAGCTAGGCCAGACCCAAACGAACGGTTCGGGTCCCACGTGCTGTTCGACTACTATGCGCCATCATCGTGCAGCATCTTCGGGCGTGATGGTTCCTGCGCCCGCGATCGTTTGACGAAAGTAAACAGGGTCGAGTGTTGGGACGCCTAACAAACCGGGCGAACAGCAGCGGTGACAAGCCTACAAGCCTACAAGGCTTGCAGGGGAGTCTACCGCGTTCCACGCCCTCAGAGCACCAGGATCCTGGGGAGAGCCCAACTCCCTGAACGCTGAGGCGGCCCGAATGATGAGGCTCTGCCGTCTAACCCCGCTCCAGAGTACTATCCTTGCTCTTGCATGAATGCTCTACGGTATCTTTTGGCTTTGCTGTATGGGTATCACCATCTATGCAGCTCAGGCCCAACCCCGATTTCCCATTGGCTCTCAGAAGGCCAACATGCCATGGCCTTATTCTTGATAGTCGGCCAGCATGACTCTCCACCCACCCATGAAGCACTCGCAGCACCTAGCCTGCCATTGGGCTGCTTCATCGGATGGCGGATTGGCTTTGCGTCGGCGGTTTCCCCAACCGCAGACATCCCTGCTGTAGCACCTTGCCCTGAGCTTCACGGTCATGACTGATGACAACCAACTACCCACTAGACTCCATGATCCGGTTTCTTCACTGACAAGGTGCATTTACCGGTTCCAGGGACCGTCTGTAAGAAAGCAAATTCTTTTCTGATGAGGTGTAGGCGTTGGAGTCCCCCTTTGGTCCGCGATGACCAGGGTACCGGCCCTTGACACAGCATTCTGCTCAAGCTGCCTCCCGTTGATAGGCCTGGCTGTCGAGGCCTACGGGGTTGCCGACAGCTGCGTGCAATCATCTTATTGCTGCATTGCTGCAATCGAGGTACCGTTTTGCTTTCTGTCTGCCTGTCTTAACACGTCGATTAAGGATCCCTGGTGAGATCTCCATCCTTTTACTGAAATCAGACAATAGGTACTATGACACCAAGATGGGGGATGACAGCACCACGAGATGTTGTCCTGCTACGCATGGAAAAGAACACCAGCTCAACCGCCTCGTCTTGACCTCCGCTTTTCCGATGGAGGATCTGCTCGGCTCCGAGACAGCAAATCCTGGGACTCATGTCATGTCATCTTGGCACTTCATCACGTCGACATCATCCGTGATATGCATGAGTGACGCCAGCTTTCGCGCCGCGCGACGCACGAATCTCGATCATTATCCGTCCAATGCTATCAACCGCTGGGCCATTTGCCATGATACTCGATGATTGGGTTGGCAAGAATGCGGCTTGCATGTGCTTTCATCAAGGGCACACCTGGCCTTGCAGATTAGTGTAGCCCCCGTCTCGTCAATGGTCTACCTACAATGAGCCAGCTTGCTCGTGAAAGCTGAGCCCTGGTACACCGGTCTCCGACATGCCTCAAGCCGCCGGTGGCGGCAAGGTCGAAACCGAACATTGTTGTCGCAACAAGGACCGGGACCTAATGGTTGTCACGAGGTCTTCCACGGCACCTCTATCAATACCTCACGATTGGACATTTCCGATGCCTGGCGCTTCTCCCTCCACTTGATGAATGCATACGAATGCATACCATCCCGTTGTTGTTCACCGACCACTCTTTCTGTGTATTTCCAAGCAGAGCCGCCCAGGGATGATCCTTTGCCACTGGCTGTTCTTCCGGATTTGGTCGTTTGCAATGAGCTGGCACAGAGGTGGTTTCCGTCAACGATTGTTGGTCTTCTCAAGAAGAGTATCGCCGAGATGGACATGTCGTGTCCTCGTGGGGTTCTCTGCGCGCGCCTTCTTGGCCCGTAATGGTTGTCGAATGTGGTTGCCAGCCTACCTTGGTCAAGGGTCTACACCGAGACTGGGGGTGTGTTCATTGCTGATGAACCCATGGCGATGATGACGGGCTGCATGGTAACGGCCGCCAGCAACGATCATTTCAGCATGCTTCCGGCTATCTATGGCGGGCAGCGATATCACGAGCACGAGGACGCCTTAGTCGTTGTCTGCGTTGTGGTTCACGTGGTCGAAAACTATAAAAGTCGTCTTCCAGTCGAATTCCCGCCTCATCTTCTCTCCCTCCTGATCAAGCACGGCGCTTCTCAAGTTTCCCAAGCCCTTCCTCGTCGTCATTCCCCGTCCCACCTCAGGTCTCAACGCGATATCCAACCCTGATCCATTGCCATCATCATGCCATCTTCTACTCCGACCTCAACGTCACCTGCAGAGTAAGTCATTGAGGTCTTGTTGTTCACATTAATTACTAACAACATGTTGACCGTCAATCATGGATCGGTTTCAGAGTGATGTCAACGATGTGCCTTACCGCCTTCTGACCACAACGGAGCAGTCAGGTTCTTCAGCTCCGTCGTCAAACGATTCATCCACTTCTCCCACCGGGACTGGATGAGAAGACGCTGCAGACTTGGGCCTCCTGTTCAGTCAACGTGTTCCAGTACCATTGGCGACGAGCTCGAGGCTACTGCAGGGTTCCTGAACTCAAGGATAGATCAGGGAATGACGCGCAGCGACTGTCTTCTCACTTCTACCACCCGTACACGTGTGACGCTAGTCCAGTCCTCCGAGAGGGCTGGAGAAGGGCCTTTACGATTATGACTGATGAGGATGAGGCTTTTGCGTGGCTACTACGTTGCGAAGCTCACAAGACTGATGTCCCTGGCGGAACAAAGTGAGACTTTCATTTATCTTTCAAATAAGCTTGATATCCTCAAATGTGAACACCAATTTTCTTTGATGTTCTCTATCTTTCAGCATTTTGCCAAGATGTATGACCTCTTCGAAACCAAAGCTTCCATGCTGACGAGCCGTCACATCCGAAAGTCGTGACTCACTGAGTGCTGTAAGAATCACAAGGGCATCAAATCCACAACATGAGAGCCGAAGGATGTACGAGTTAACGAAGATAGATCCTTGGGACTTGCGTCACAGTAGTGAATGTACAAAGCTCCACTCGTAACAATAAACGTGTCGGGCCTGGCCTCTTACCTAGGCGCATCCCACACTTTCCCGAAATTCAACTTCTTCCGGCCGCACACGACGCAAAAGCACCTGAAGTCCATCGAGGCAATCTCTTCTTTCAGGCCTCTCAATCCATCACCACCAGTTCAGCTTTCCCCTCGAGGCTATCTTTATCCCCCTTGGAAAGATGTCGGACTCTTGGAGCGACACCAGCGGCGACGACACTGAGCTGTCGGATGGCAGTGATTTGCTGTACCCGCCTGAGACAACTATGGTCAACAACGATGCCAGCATCGACAGCGTTTTGCGTGGCACAGTTATTTCATCCACCACGGCTCTGGGCATTTCACAAATCAAGCCGATCCCCTCGCATACCCGGGGACAAGCCCTGGATATATCTCCAACTGACACGCAGCCGATCCCGGATCGTCCTGAGACGAAGCAAAAGCCAGTCACTTCCTTGGATGGAATCGGTCACCAAAGTGCACAAACATTGGCCCCACCTGTTCGGCCTGGTGATCAGGCTCGGTCCGAGCGGATACCTCCGGCCTCGGGGCAGGAGCCGTCGGGGCCCCGCTTTCGGTCCACGGAAGGCGGCACAACGCCCGGTATCATGGCTCCGAATCCTTCATGTCGTTACAGTCAGTCTCACGAAAACGATCTCGAGAGTTTCCGTCCACACGCCAAGTCTTCAGTCGGAGATTTACAGCAGGAGACCCATTTCCGGCCCCCCTCAGACATTACTTCAAGCAGCAGCGACTGGCACTCGGTTCCTACTGATACCACTGCAACGTGTGCCATACGTACCCCTGACCCAACAGATTCTCGATCCTTCAAGCGTTCCGACACTGCGACAAAGTCTGACGAGATGGTCCAAGTCTCAGTCCCTTCTCTCGATATGGCTAATATCGACCTTCGCGTCGACGATGTTGAGCACAAAGAAGTCCAGGTTGGAGACCGGGCCAGAACCACCCCAGGTCTGATCATGTCGGATACCGAAAACCTTGATGCTCAGCGCGACAGAGACCTCAAACTTCTGGCCTCTCTCCTGACTGCTGGCGATCCAAAGGCTGTCTTCACTGACACGTCCAAGCTCGACAAGCATTCGATGGAGAACCGTCAGATGCTGCGTTGGATCAAGCTCGAGTTCGCCATCCACCAGAAACAGAGACTTGGCGATCTCACCAAGGCCAAGAAGCTCCGGAACGACACGCCCGCGACCACCGCGTACCGCTTCGCCACCCACAAGTCTCTCGACAGCGCCATCAAGGGCGCCAGAGCTGCCTACAAGGGCCTTGCTGACAAGTTCCAGCCCGAAGAAGTGCCTGACATCATCAAGGCTAGCATGGATGCCATGCAGAAGCTGGATGACCTTCTGACTAACGACAACAATGAGATCCTTGACGAGCTTACCGCCGAGGCTCAGAAGCAGGTCAACGCAAACCACATCTACCAGCAGTGCATCGCCACGGGCAAGGAGGGCATCGAGCCCCATATTCAGCGCATTGCCGTCATTCAGAAGACTATTTGCACCTTTGAGCTCCGTGTTGTCATGGTTGATGTCATGTTCTCGAAGCAGCACCAAGACTCGGAGAAGGGTCTGCACCCCAGCACCATGACGGTCCAGAAGTTTCTGAACAGCGATCCCATCATCGACTCCGCCGTCAAACTCATTGGTGACCTCGTTGAGGATTTCGATCTTCACATGAAGATTTTGAAGGAAAAGGCCGCCATGATGGAGTTGTGAGTGCCATTCTTCCCCCACCTGTCTCCTCGCGTCTGCCCACAAAGGAAGGACATGCGTTGTTAACAGGACTCGCAGCATCTCAGCCGGACACAAGCAGTGCAGCCTGCGCCACCCCCTGGTGCTTAAGCTTCGCGAAGCTCTTGTTCCTGGCTGGTGTGAGTTCTATTCCCACTTCTATAGCGTGAGCTTTTGGCGATGCTGATACTGTGGACAGACCTGCCTGGCGAGCCCCATCAGGACGGACAGCTGGATGCCGAGACATTCCGCATGGTTCTTGAGACTGCCATGTCAATTGACTGGGAGACCTCAACCTGGAATCTCTGGGACGAGACTGCTTGAGCTGATACCGAGCCACCCGGAGACCCCAGCCATCCACACTATCAGGATGAGATGGACATGGTCTCATGGGCAAGCCAGCTGCGGCAACGGATGCCATTGCTTTTTATTTTTGGTGTGGAAAGGGACTATGTGACAAGTTTACGTCTTTCTGTCGCACGGGAACAGATGGATGCATGTCCTTCCACATTTTGGGACGCCAACGGCATTCAGAGTCATCGTGGAGTGTACCTAGGTACCTAGGTAGATTCGGCACCTTGCTCAGCACAGGTAGATGGCCTCACGAAAAATGAAAAAACGCGGTGCAACGCGCCAACTGTTTCGACTGCGCCACATGTGTCTCAGGCGAAATGAAGGCAGCAGTGGTGGGGTCGACGAGCAAAGTCTGCCGGACACACATTGTGCTGGGAGGCAGGAGCTTTCGTGAGGTGATTCCCATCAGAGGTTCGCATTGAGTCAGCATCCAACAGCTGATGGCAGGTACTCCCCTCCCTGCCTCCACTACCCCTCCAAGCCCTCCAACTGCACAGACCAGCCCCCCGCAGCGAAAGACACCAATCAGCGTCGGGCTCTGTTTGGAGGAGCCATCGAAAGAGCTAGAAGGAGCTGGCCAGTTTTCTTTCCCGCGCGCTGCGTGTGACCCCAGCTCTGATTTTGGGCGAACCTCGAGCACTTGAAGAACTCACAACCACCACACCACACCAAGGCCCCCTCTTGCACCAATCTTTCTTCCTTGGACGAACCACTGATCTTTTTCACTGTTCTCTGCTCTTTACGAATTTGACGCCCCCACGATACCCATTCAAGCCTACTCTTCCTGGACTGCTTTCCTTCTGTTATTCGACCATCGACCACCATGGCTACCGCAGACGAGCTCAAGGCTCAAGGCAATGCTGCCATTGCCGCCAAGAACTTTGACGAGGCTATGTAAGTTGCTTCTGCCTCCGCACCTCACCACCGCACATGTCGGGCCTTGTCCATGTAGCCTTCTCGACTAACACTTTGCAGTGACAAGTTCACCCAGGCCATCGCCATTGACCCCACCAACCACATCCTCTACAGCAACCGATCCGCCGCCTACGCCTCAAAGAAGGACTGGGAGCACGCCCTCGAGGATGCCGAGAAGACTGTCGAGATCAAGCCCGATTGGGCCAAGGGCTGGGGCCGCAAGGGCACCGCGCTCTACGGCCAGGGCGACCTTCTCGGCGCCCATGACGCCTACGAGGAGGGTCTCAGGAAGGACCCCAACAACGCCGGACTCAAGAAGGACCTCGCCTCCACAAAGAGGGCCATGGAGCAGGAGACGGGCGGTCAAGGCGGCGACATGAGCGGCGGTCTCGGCAAGATGTTCTCTGACCCCCAGCTTATTCAGAAGCTTGCCAGCAACCCCAAGACCAGCGGCCTCCTAGCCGACCCCTCCTTCATGATGAAACTCCAGCAGATCCAGCAGAACCCCGACAGCCCCGACCTGTTCTCCGACCCCCGCATGCTGCAGGTTCTCGGCGTCCTCATGGGCGTCGATATCCAGACGCGCGACCCCAGCGAGATGCCCGAGGGTGCCGGCCAGCAGCAGGACACCGAGATGACCGATTCCATGCCTGAGCCTCCGAGGCCGTCAGCGCCAAAGAAGGCTCCCGAGCCTGCGCCGGAACCCGAGGCTGAGCCCGAGGACGAAGAGGCGCTGGAGAAGCGCAAGGCCAAGGAGGCCGCCGACAAGGAGAAGGCGCTCGGCACCGAGAACTACAAGAAGCGCAACTTTGACGAGGCCATCGCGCACTACACCAAGGCCTGGGAGCTGCACAAGGACATCACGTACCTGAACAACCTCGGCGCGGCTCACTTCGAAAAGGGCGACTACCAGGCTTGCATCGACGCGTGCACCAAGGCCGTCGAGGAAGGTCGCGCCATCTACGCCGACTTTAAGATCATCGCCAAGAGCTACGCCCGGATCGGAACAGCGTACGAGAAGCTGGGCGACCTAGAGCAGGCCGTCGCCAACTACAAGAGCTCGCTGACGGAGCACCGCACGCCCGATGTCGGCCTTAAGCTGCGCAACGCCGAGAAGAACAAAATTGAGAGCGCACGACTCGCCTACATTGACCCCGCCAAGGCCGAAGAGGCCCGCGAGGATGGCAACAAGAAGTTCAAGGAGATGGACCTGCCGGGCGCCGTGGCGGCCTACAGCGAGATGATCAAGCGCGCGCCCGACGACCCGAGGGGCTACAGCAACCGTGCGGCGGCCTTTGTCAAGCTGCTCGAGTTCCCCAGCGCTCTCGAGGACTGCAACACGGCCATCAAGAAGGACCCCAAGTTCATCCGCGCCTACATTCGCAAAGCTCAGGCCTACTTCGGCATGCGCAAGTATTCCGAGTCGGTGGACGCGTGCAGCGAGGCCAAGATTGTTGACCAGGAGCACCACAACAGCGCCAACTCGCGCGAGATTGACCAGCAGGAGCAGAAGGCCTTCTCGGCCATGTACTCCGCTCGCGACAACGAGACGGAGGAGCAGACCAAGGAGCGCCTGGCAAAGGACCCAGAGGTACGTTCCAACATGAGAATACTGTCCTTATTGAAAGCATCCGCTGACTTGAGTCCGGCACCAGATCATGGGCATTATGCAAGATCCCGTCATGCAGGCGATCTTGCAACAGGCGCAGACGAACCCGGCGGCGCTCAACGAGCACATGAAGAACCCCGACGTTCGCTCCAAGGTGCAAAAGCTGGTCGCTGCTGGCGTTATTCGCGTTGGTCGGTAAAGCAAACAGGTGTACGAATAAAACGGAAGCGTCGGCGGATGAAGCGGAGAGATAGGATTCAAGTCGGAGGGAAGCGCAGGCATAAGAGAAAGAGGTCACGCTTAATGGATCGGCGGTAGGCAACCCTTTTCTCGTGTACCCTGATGTTCGAGAGTTGTGATCGCGTGACCAATAGGAGAGACACGTCAGAACAAATCGAGCCATTCCACGTGAGCGGCTGAGGTCGTGATGGTGTGCAGCTGTGCAGCATGACCCCGGTGAGCCTTGGAGGGGGACTCATCGGGCAGGATGAGGTGTGCATTATTCGCTGTTGGATGCGTCAACAAGGCTTCCATCCCGCCGGCAGATGATGCAGTTCGCGCTGCAACATCACGGGTCGAGGCACAACCATGGCAAAGTCTTTGATTGAAAGCAACGGCTTTCCGGTCAAATAAGCCATCTGCGAAAGATGAATGAGTATTTGTATCTTGATTCACCATAACTGTGCCAGATTGGCCCATCTTGTCATCTTCTCCGGGCATTCCACTACTTCAACATGGAATCACAGTCACCAATGTTGGAGGGTAAGGGCTCATCACTCCCTTCTTAACATGTTACCAATCTTATCCCCCAGAATTATCCACAGTTAACATTTGCAGCCTACCGCCGCCTCACCGAAGTCATCTCGTCCCAGCCCGACGACAAAGAGACTGAAGAACATGTCCATCAGTTGCTCATATCGCTGCCCTCCGTGTTCTTCACCATAGATGCCCAGAAGCGGACACCACTGCATCACGCCGCCTCTGTCGGCAAACCCAATATTCTTCGTGCCATCCTCACCGTTGGTCCGGAGTGTGAAGTTGACCTGCAAGATGCCGAGGGATGCACCGCTCTCCACCTGGCCGCGCGCAACGGCCACGAAGCCGTAGCCCGCGTCCTCCTCAATGTTGGCGCCGACGTTCGGCGTGAGGAAGCATTCGGCGAGACGCCGCTGCACGAGGCAGCGCGCAACGGACACGCGGCTCTTGTGAAGCTCTTTATCGATACGGGCGCCGTTGTTGACGTCGGGAATCGCGACTCGAGTACGGCGCTCCACGTTGCCGCCCGACGTGGCCATTCCGACGTTGTCGAGGTTTTGCTGGCTGCTGGCGCCAACCCTGCGACCAAAGACAAGGTCGGCGACACGCCCCTTCATGATGCTGCTCGCGAGGGTCGGACGGAGATTGTCGATGGTCTGCTCAACACGGGGCTTGTCAGCGTCGAGGCGCGGAACGCCAACGGTCTCACGCCGCTGAGCGTTGGAGCGCGCCATGGACGCGATGGAATTGTGCGTTCTCTGCTCGAGAGGGGTGCCGATGTTGACGCGCAGAGCTCTGAATTCTGCACGCCTCTGCACCAGGCTGCTACGGAAGGCCATGATGGCGTGGCGAGATCGCTCATCGCCGCTGGCGCCGAGGTTGACTTGCAAGACAAGGACTTACAGAGCCCTCTTCATACAGCCGTCATATTTGAGCATGCTGACGTCGTAGGCAGCCTCCTCTGTGCCGGGGCGACGGTGAACCTGCGCGATACGGAGGACTGCACGCCGCTGCACCACGCTGTCAAGAATGGAAACAGAGGTATTGTCAGGGAACTGCTCGAAGCGGGTTCGGACCCTACAACCCTCTCTGCCGGTGGTGAGACGGCTCTTAGTCTGGCACGGGTCATGGGCAAGGAGTCGGTCATTGAGCTGTTTGCTAGCCCACAGCTCGTTCCGAGGCAAAACGTCGAAGCAAACTCGCGTCCCAAGCGGGCACGGGGCCCGTCACGGCCCAACGAAGAAGGCGAGATAATGGCATGCAAGCACTTTATGGGAACCTTCTGGTGCCCTACCTCCGAGACGGCATTTGACGATCTTTCCGTCTGGAACATACTTTACGAGCCTGACACGGAGGTCAAACTAAGCCCCCGTCAACCTCCACCGCCGCCTTCACCTCCACCATCCCCTCCACCAGTTCCTTCAAGGGAAACTTCTGGCATCCGCCACCATGATCACCGCCATCGCCAACATCAACAACACCGCCGTAAGCTATCGCACGATGCCCGTCGCCCTGACGACCCCGTGAAACGCTGGATCCATCTGCCGGCCAACAATGTGGCCTGGGTGCTTGACCTCGTCCAAAAGATCAGCGCCATGGACGGCCGCACCGAGGCGGAGTGCGCTCGCGCCATGCGTTTCGTCCGCGACACGTACCTCGAGATGCGCTACTCGGCCCCCTACCGCAAACCGCACTTTCGTCGCGCCTCGGCTACCGGTGCCGCCGCCTCCGTTGCGGCTCCGACCTCGGCGTCGCCCTCCCTCGACCCTGCCGAGATGTTCTCTCTCGTCCTGCCCGTCGTGGACGTCGAGATGGATGAGCAGACGCGCGAGCGCCTCCGCTCCGCCATGACCGGCAGCCGCGACGTCGCGCCCAAGAGGGAGCTCCTCCGCGCCAGCACGGCCGAGCGCGCGCGTAGACTGAGCGCCATGCCGACGGGCCTGCAACACCACCTCTTCCCCTACCTCAAGCACCTCGACGCCATGAATGGCCTGCGGCGAAGCTTCACCAAGTCTGAGCTGCACGTGCCGCGGACGCTCGACCAGTCGTACCACGAATCGCTGAGCAAGGAGGAAGTGCGCGCGAGGAACGAGAGCCAGGTTCTGTACCGGTACCTTCTGCGCCTCGAGAGCCTTGTCAAGGCGGAGAAGCAGAAGAGTGACGGGTCTGTCGTTGCTGGGGAACAGAAGTTGGGCCAGGGGTCCGGCAACCCGTTTGAGCACCGCGAGCTGCTCGAGCAGCACTCGGACAAGCAGAAGCGGACAGATGGCACAAAGGAGCAGCTGATGAGGATGGCGGGACGGCAGGATGTGGCCAGCAGCGTGCGCGCGAGGGTGGCGCGTGAGCGCAAAGGGATCGAGCAGGAGCAGCGTAAGCAGGTGTTGATGGTGTCGCAGCTGTGGATGTGGCGCATCGACGAACGTAGGTTCTACTCTTCTTCTTCGTCCCTCACTTTTGTGTTCCACGATCGTAAATTGCACTTAGGGTCGACACTGACACATCGCGCAGACAATATAATCACCTGCTATCCAGAACGCTGGGACGACAAGAACGCCAAGACGCTGCTCAATGAGATCAAGCACCGCGTCCTGGCTTCTCCCGGTCTCAAGTCAGCCGATACAGACATGATGGATATTGCTGCCCACGTCCTCGAATCGGCAGTCGGATTCAGCGAGGAGGAGTTTCATTTTCAGTTCTGCGGCCCGCGATCGTACTGTAACGTCTTTGCGGGCTCAGTGGCTTTCCTCTCCAACGAGGCAATGAAACGGTACACGGCCTTCAAGTCGTCCATCCGCGGGATGCGCACTTCGAAGACTGTGCTCGGGGACCTGCGAGCTGAGATTGAGCTACTGCAGGAGATAGACGATGTGAGGGAGGAAGTGAATATGATCCAGACGGTATTGAAGGAACAAGAGCGCGTCGTCGTCGAGTTTCAGGGTTCACGAGAACCAGACTGCACCGTGCTGGAGCAGGTCAGAGGCGGCCTCGGAGGTTTCTCTCATCCTACCCTGGACTTTTTCGATCGCCTGGGACTGGATGCTGATCGAGTTCGGACCTCGGTGAGCGTTGAGGCTGTATCAACCTGTGTTGGTACAACGTTGACCTTGAGTAGATCACGACTTTACTCGATCTCCGACAGCGCGAGGCCAACATCGAAGAAGCCCTCTCAGCAAACGAGCAATCCAAGATTCTCTTCATCTTCACAGGCGCGACAGTCGTCTTTGTGAGTTTGCAACCCAACCCAAGCTCTCCCATGTCTATTAACTATGGCTCCAGGCCCCCCTCTCCTGGATCATGGGCGTTTTTGAGGTCAACATATCCGGCCTACCAAGCCCAATCACACCAGGCACTGTGGTCCTGGCCAGCAGTGAGCATCTACAATCCCTTCTCTCTGAGACTATCTGACACGTAGAAAAAGTTGGGAGTCTCCTCGCCACCGTATTGGTCATCTGGCTGTCCCTCCAGATCTACGAACTCATCGCCCAAGGCCAGAGCAGCGCGAAGCGCCGAAAGCTCGACTCCATGCTTCGCCGGAAGACGAAACCAAACGAAACCTTGGCACCTGAAGCGGCAGCGCAGTCACAGCGAGGCGATGAATCTGCAGGTCAAGCAAGCCAAACGGCAAGGTCATCTGCCCTCCGATCGGAGGCCGCAGCGAGCGCTGTGGGTCAGGGGGCATCGGGCCAACGCAAACTCAGGAAAAGGTTTATCAGGTTCGGCAGGGACGGAAAGAAGAGGCTAGATGAGGAGACTGCGATAGTTGTTTGACGCTTGGTGACATGTAGTTCGCTTCTTATGATGGCCGCCGGCGTTCGTTTGGCATAGGTTTTGGCGAATAGACGGCTGTGCTGAGACCAGCAACCGACATCAATCCAGCCACAAAGTTCGGCATTAGGTCATTTTCGCTTGTTCACAAATAGCCTTCAGATCTATTGAAGCAAGTTAAGTGCTAACTTGTGGTGGGTGACGTTTCGGAGGGCGGCAATCAGGTCAGGTCGATTTCATGTCGACCAACATACTCCGAACGGGATGTGCATCCTTCAACGTACCGGCACACTCAAACCCGACCTACCTTAGCAAAGACTGAAGGTGACAAAGTACTTTCCAGATGGTTGGTCGCTGAAACACAACTTACCCCTCATTCATGGGGGCCTGGTAACCTGAGGCAGTGCAACGACATGGTGATTGCTCATATGTACGCGTATAGTAAGCAAGACCTGGTTTTTACGATTATTACGACACATGCAGCCATCACGGGACTGTCAATATGGCCTGAGGATGCCCTTGGCGGAGGTATTGGGTATTTCTTCACCAGTCGGCTTGATTTTCGACGCAAACATTTTGTCCCATGCAATTGAACACGGCACATCATATTTTTGCAGCCACAGACCATGATCACGACGCTGAGCAGGGCCCTTTTACGGACACCTTTGACTACGTCTTTGCGGCAAAGAACACCCCTTGCCTCGATTATTCCATCGCTAGTCTTCTCCGCGAAATACTCACGTATAAGTCGTACAGCGCCGACGGCAGTGATGCTTAGTGCCCTTAAAGAGGACGGGTTCGTTGTCATAGAGGGCATGTTTCCGCCCGATCAGGTCTCCAGCCTCAACGCCGACATGGACACGGTGCTGACCAAGGTCGAGGCTGGTAAGTCGGCCAATTTGACAGCGCCTCCATTGCCTGGCGGCATTGACGGTATCGTCTTCGGGTCGAACACAAAACGTCTAGGCAGTCTGCTGCACCACAGCCCAACGTGGCGCGATGCAATGATCGACAACCCTGTCCTACACGACCTCTGCACCGGTATTTTCCGCGATACGGGCGACTACTGGCTCAGTATGGCACAGATGATCGAAATCGGGCCCGGGAGCAAGGCACAACCCTTGCATGCCGACGCGGCCGCCTGGTGGCCGTTCCTCAGCATGGGTGACCGCTGGATGCCCGAAGTAGCCGTCAACTTCCTCATCGCCGCCACAGACACGACGAGTGCCAACGGCGCCACGGGCGTCGTGGAAGGGAGTCACAAGATCAAGTACTCAGAGGCGCTGGCCGATCCGACTTTCAACTTCTGGAGGTTCCCCGACGACAAGGTCAAGCAGGTCGAGCTGAAAGCTGGCGACTGCCTGCTTCTCGGCGGACGCATTGTGCATCGTGGAGAGGCGAACAGAACCGCCGATGAGCGCAGAAGGCTTCTCAGCTGCACAGTCACAAGCTCTGTGCTGACGCCCGAGGAGGCGCACCCGTTGATCGTCGACAAGGACGTGGTTCAGGGGCTTCCAGAGCGGGTGAAGAAGTTCCTGGGTTTCCGGGGCCAGAATTCTATATCGGGATACAAATTCTGGCAAGACCATAGGAGGGACCTCAGCCTGACTCTGGGGGTTTGACAGAGCAAGTGATGCTCCAGACGCAGTGCTAGTCAGCACAATCTCATCTCACTACACCTAAAGTCAAGTCGTGTCAGGAAAATGCACTGCGAAACAGCTGCCTGACGGTGATCTCTAGCGCCGGGATTCTGAAGTCAGGAACGCACGACGAGAACGTAGATACCTCAGAAAAGTAGGCTGAGTTTGTCAGAATCGACAAATAGGCCTGTGCCAGGTCGCCGATGACAAGATTCCTAGAGGTGAATATGAAGGAGTTGTTGGAACACAAGGTACGCCTACCTTCGCTCTCCTCTAATCAACCGTAATCTGAAGGCTGTACGCTTCGTCGGGCAAGTCAGGCCAGCTGTCCGTGGTTCGAAGACTATAGCACCGAGGGTTTCGATCAAAAGGCATGTAGGTGAATGGAACTTCAAGTGCGTGGCAAGAAACTTTTATGATTGTCGCCGCTTATTCGATTTTGCTCTTTTCTTTTCTATTCGCGATCACCATCTCGATAGAGGTCCCAGCATTCGGACGATGGCAAGATTGTCGTTGTATGTAGTTTGAGCCTTGAAAGATTCGTTGATATTTTAGGGTTTCAGAGTTTGTCAATGAAAGAGCGCAGTGATAATCGGAAAGCGTGATGAAAAGAGTCTACAAATAATCCGTATGGATCAGTATACTGAAGCAAAATTCCGACCCGATGGACTTGTGCTCTGTAACTGGTGATTTTGCACGCACCTTTGTCTCCAATGTTCTAGGGCCGTTCGGTTAGTTCTCCAAGAGCGAGAGCCTTCAAAGGATTGTACTTCCTACTCCGAGGTATTTGCCGTACGTTGAAATGTAGTCATGAACAAGAACGGAACTCGGCCAAACGTAAGCTTCATCGTGCGTAACAAACGGTTATTGTCTACCAGAGCCTGTTGATCGTTTGACAACCATTTCGCCCCAAGATTCGCGCTTCCAACCGGTAAGAGCAGTACTCAAACAGGCGACGAGTTCTCGCAGAGCTCACGCAGCACTCGTCTGAAGGACTCCAAATCTCCACGGCTAGAGCGGCAAGGGTGGTGTTCGCGTGACATGGTCATCATGGTGGCGACTTAGGCGTTTGAATGGATTCGAGCTTGAATGGATTCGCTCGGGGTCGAGACCCAGTATGGCGTCTCGGCGGTGAAGGGTCGAGGCAGCTTATTGTGTCTTAGCCGATCGAGGCCAGTCTGGGACTTTAGGCGAAGCCCGCAGAGAGATTAGGGATGATCATTGCCCTTCGAAGGGCTCCTCCAAGGATATGTTTTCCAGCGGTTGTGAGTATTTTTTGAACAGCACGTAGAGACTTGCAGAGAAGTGCCACGTCGAACTGCTCTGACAAAGCAAGCAGTGGCACTCAGATATCATGATGACGGTCACGATGATATTCCGTGTCAAGAGGGACATTGAGAGACCCCCCAAGCAACTAGTTACATATGAGGTGCTCGCGTATCCGATGACTAAGTTAGGAGGCCTGCACCAAAAGACAGTTCGAGAGACGGCAAGACGGCAAGACTTCCAGGAGGCTGAAGCTGAACCCTGCTCCCACCTACTCTGTTGGTTCACGAGGCTCGAAACTCTACCGCGCGAGCTGCAACAAAGCACCATGACTCGCACCAAGGGGCTGGGTCGGTGGCGATCACGCGCTGCTACCCAGCATCAACCGTGCTACCGAGGGCCTAGTTAGCGCTTTGTCACAGCTGGTCAACCAAGAGGCAGGTCTAGTAGATGGGCCGGCAGGTGAGGTCAAGGTTCGCGATCGAGGCGCATCCTTCCGGCAGGGGACCCGATCTGACGAACTGCAGACGGAATAGCGGCCAAGTATCAAGTCTGGGGACGGAGGACACATGGGATTTGGCATTGTCGTGAGAAGCCGCCGTGGTCCCTTTTGGGCTTGATGCCTCGCCTGAGGCGGGAGGCTTGCCGCACCGGAGAAGGGTTGGCGAATGTGGAGGCCCGCATATGTGGTCTGTCTAGAACACGTGAGATACTATGGAGGTGGAGAGGAGAGTCCAGAGCGGCGGATCAGCTCATGTGAAGTGACTGAACTAGGGCATGCCCAACAGGAAACCGCTTCCGTAGGTGGGCCCCTCCAAAAGCCACCGGGCATGCGGTCTCGTTAGCTCTAGACTCAGTATGCCAAGGAGTGCAGCGGCGGTACAGGTTCGTTGGTGTGGGAGATTGGGGCCTCTTTGAAGCAGTCAATCGGCCATGTCCATATTAGTTTGACCGCCGTCGGAAGGGCGGGCGAATATTGGGTTCTGCGTGTTGTCAAAAGATCCCCGACCGGTCTGGTTCACCGCACGCTTAACCGTGTTAGCCGCAGTGTGCCTGAAGCAGTCGATTCCCTTTGGTAGGGGGTTCTCGATCTTAGATGGTTACAAGTGTATCCTACCCACAAGCTGTGAGGCGGGTCGGGTGTACGGCAAGGCATTTCTTGGCCTGCGTGGCAGCAATCACAACGCCATCATCTCCAGCTCTTGCAGGCGAGATCAGCAGTGCATATAGTCAAGGTATTGGTACTCTTGCCCAAAGGTCAATGGCCATCATTAATTAAAGCGCTGTGCCGCGCTGCAGGGTAACATTCGCCCCGTGTCAGCAAGCGAAGGGAAGGGGTGGCTACCATATTTTGACAGGCAGAGATAAATTGGGTGTGGCGATCTGGAGGAACCATCAAAAGACACCTTGACTGTTGCTTGGATCTCGCCTAGGCCTGGTCATTCAATTTGCGACCCTCGAAAATGTTCGATCGAGAAGTGTACTTAGTAGCAGACAGAAGTGTAGGGCCCATCGGGGACGTGCCGAATCGTCCGATATCAGACGTTGGAGTTCTGCAAGAGATTGAATTGTGGAAGCTGTTCAAGGCCCAGTCACGCGTCGATATGTCATTTGCTGCCATAGAGTTGACACAAACGAGGGAAGGATCAGCCCACGCGCCGAGAACACCGGCAGACGCGATGTGCTCGGAGAAGAGCGTCGCGTTCGAAGATTCGGTTGGTCCCGTTTGAGGCGACTGAAAGCGGGATGAAGTGTGGCGCTGGATGACGGGCCGGTTCAGTCGGTGTCTCTGCCGAAGGACGCCTTATTCAAAGTCGAATACTCCTTGTGGCAGGATCCTCTGTTGTCGGTACTGCTGCAGATAGATCCCTGCGCATTTCAGATTGGAATCTGGGGGTCCGAGGACAGGAACAAGTGACTCGACTTGGGGACATGGAGAATGACTAAGTGAAAAGAATTGGGCGAAGTTGGTGTTAGAGACGGAAAAGAAGGGAAGGAAAGCGCTGTGCCTCTCTTCCTGTCGGCCCTTTCGCCATGGGATGCATGCATGGCATATCGTTCAATGACAGCCAACGACGAAGGATGGCGGGATGGGGATGATGGCTGATCCCCTGGTTCAGAGCCGTAGCGACGGTTCGGTTTTCCAGCACCGGTGCAAAATCGAGGACGAACCGGGCCACATGGTGAGTCGGGGTCATGCGACGGCCACAGTCGCCGTGTTGGTAGATGCTGCCCTGATGCGTTATGCAGATGCGGTCGGCGCGTGCAGCGACTCGAGGCGAAAACAGGCGAGAAAAGGCGTCCGTCTTGGTGAGCTTGGGGTATTGCTTGTTCCTGCCACAACACACATAACTCACGCCACGAATCTGAACCCAGGGAAAGTGCAGTGCTGGGCTCTGCGCCATGCCGTGCTGTTCGAGCAGTTCCTTCCCTCCCATGTGGTCGAATGGAGGTTGTGCCTGCCTAGGGACCACCGGATGGAAGCTTTCCATTGGAGGTGGAAATGGGGCCCCTGCCCGGCCTGTAGTGGGTAAGACCACCAGGGACCCCTTCCCTTTCTTGACTGGACCAGACGGACCCCAGGTCGTACCTGCCCCTCGGCTGCGCTGCCATATTTGGAGCACGGATTAGCGCGGAGGAAGGCGGCCCGCTGATCAGTTAGGTCTAGTGTCCACTCCACCATCTGAAGGTGCGCGTGAGGCTTCTCTCCCCCACAGCTCTGTCAACGGCCCCATTGGCTCTGCCTAACTTTGATGCCGTCTCATCTCCAAGCCCATTTCCACCACCTGACAGTCTCGCAGGATGTCTTCGATCCGCGGTCGTGTAGGGCATGGTGGCACCGCCGGTAGGGTGCTAATCGTCCAGAGCCCCAGTCGCTCACTGAAGGTTCCCAAGTAAGTGAGGTTGGTTCGGTAGGTGAATAGGTGCCTGAGCAAACCACCAAAAGCCTTCCCACTGGTCACCATCTTCAGGTAACCTTCACTGAGACGAAGTAGAACCACCAGCAGCACCACGTCCCGACCACCCCCTCCTCCCCCGCCCCGGTTCTGGTTGCAGCTTCTTCGAACGTCGATTCTTGAGTTCATCAGACTAGCGAGAAACGCAGGACCAGCGCCCTGCAACATCGAACCAAGATTCCAATGGTGTTTCTGTGTCGTCGTGGGCGTCAGATCGCCGTAGGACTCGACCCCCCAGCCCTGCCAACGACAGAGCCTCTGATTGCTTCGAGCTTGCGTCTGGTGGCTGCCGGTATCAATGGCGCTAGACTGTACTGGCCTGCATGGCGCCATGCACCCCTCCCCCCTTGGAGGATCTCAGAGCACGGGCCAAAGGCACGAGAAGAAGGACGAGTACTGAACGAGCCAACAGGAACTGCGGCCCGGTTTTCGCTCACCGTTGCTGTTGTTCCCTCACCCTCATGAGCTCCTTCATCTTTGACCTGGACAGATTCGGGCCCGGCAACTGGTCAGTCCATGTTCCAGCTCGTGCCGGCATATGAGTGCCATCTCCGAGCCCACGCCTCCTCCCGCAACATGAAGCCGTCATGAACGCTGGGCAGCGTGCGCCAAAGGGCTGGCAGGCGGACGGCTCCAGGCGCTGCAAGCGTTGCAGGCGATTGATGCCTCTCGTCGCTTGTGCTTGACCTTGGCCCGACTAGTCTGCCTGCCTGCCTGCCTGCTCTCCGAACTGACGGGATAGAATGGCATGGACGGTGAACACACACACACACACACACACACACACAGACGCTCTCACCAAAGCCTTCCCTTCGATCCCGCCAGCCTGGTGGGGAAGGGAACTGCTGGGACCCTGGGCCGGTCTGCCTGCCCTTCTGCTGTGGCCCACAATCCCCAGAAAGCCCACCCTGGCCCAAGGCTAAGCGGTGGTCGCCCGCGCCATTCCCACAAGCCCAAGTCAAACGACAGCGGAGCAACCCAGCCCGCTGATCCGGGGAGGGAAAGGCGAGAGGAAATCTTGGAGGCACGGGATTCCTTTGTTACGCTCGACATTGGCGTCTTTCCAGATCAGCGGCGCCATGCCATGTCTTGCACCGGAGGCCCCTCTCCATCGCGTGTGTTGCCTCGTGTGCCTATCCTGTCGTCTCAGGTACAATGACAACCCACTAGTCACTGGAGACTTTCGATGTACTGGGGTGGCCCCATTCAGAACTGACGAGAGACATGCTGCCCTCAAAAGTCCTCGCGCGCCGGATCCGCAGGAACGAGCAAGGACAAACACCATCGGCGCGCAAGCATAATCCAAAGAACTCTCTCAGCTGTAGTCGCCAAGCGCTCCTCCTGAGGGACTCGAAAATCTGGAGCGGCGGTGCCACCGTACTCTGTACCTGCCGCAGCCACACCTGCCATAGTAATTAATATCGCCTGTCGCTGGGGAAAGGGGGGCTACGAGGGCCTGGGGCTGGCCGGCCTTGTCTGCCTCATCCCTGGGCCTCGTTGGGCCCTGAAGTGGGTGGCAACCAGGTAACGTGAGAGAGCCAACCGGCGCCCCCAGACTTTGTCCCGGCCGCCACACAGAGCGCTGCACATGGGGAAGAGACGCGACAGGAGGAAAGGAGGGGGGATGGCATACATGGCCCGTACCCCATCCGTCCCAAACACTTCCACCCCATGGACGGATGTGCAGATGGACCAAAGGCGTCTCCGGCCTCGAGTGGTACAGCACAGCATATAGTCCGATCTGGCCTGACAGGGGCCTTCCCCCCAAGGTCCCGATGCCCAGCACAGGCTAGCCGCCATT